CTCAATGTATATATTCGAAATGTCAGTGTATATTTTCAAAAATAAACAAAAATTTATCAGCAATGAGGAAATTCACATAAAAACACTCGTCAAAAACATGACTTTCACGTTCCTTATCGAGAATATGGTTGACGTGACTCAGGACAGCACACCACCGTTGGTTGGAAACACCCCTGTATCTTACGCTATTGTTGTTTATGAAGGGTCCTGAAATTCGCTAGAGCGGAAGATATACTGAAAATGCACTTTATCACTTCAGTGATATACACTGCTCGCCAATAGCCATGGAACCACCCCAATTTCCAGAAAATGATATTAGGAGGCAAAATAATTATGTTGAAAATTACTTCGAATTCGAAATCAGAATAACACCCTTTTTTTTTTTTTTATTTTTTTTTAATCGCTTGGAGCGCACGAAAGGGAATCCCTATTATGTTCAAAGAACATCGTGCGTTCCTAGGGAGGATAGGGACAAGAGGTAGGTATTGGAATTCTTTTTGAACTTTTGGAGATTATATATGTTGTAGGGAATACTTCCACAGGTAATGAATTCCACAGCCTAGCCGTTCTATGGATGAAGGAGTCTTGATAAAGTGCTGTTCGACATTTTTCGAGGTTGACAACGAAAGGATGTGCTGACTGGGCTCGTCTTGTTCGTCTGATTGGTATTGCTAGTGGAGGGATGATAGCAGAGATTTCCGAAGAACATTTCCCGTGGAAGTATCGATAGAAAAGTGAAAGGTCGCCGACCTTTCTACGGTGTTCCAATGAAGTCAAACAGTGAGTGAGTGTGGCGTCACCCACCAGGCGAATGGCTCTTCTCTGGATGGAATCTAAGAGCATCAGCGTATGTTTTGGTGCTGAACCCCATATGTGGGAACAGTACTCTAGAACAGGCCGTATCTGCGCTTTGTAGATCATGAGAAGCTGTTGAGGTGTAAAGTAGCTTTTCGCACTAAATATCCATATTTTTCCTGAGAAATTTTCAGCTCTGAAAATTTCATTTTTGTCTCACTTTTCAGGGAAGCACCCTCGTATATCTGACGTAATCGTTGGGTTACGATCCTGAAATTTGCTGGAGCGAGAGATTCACCAAAAATGCATTTTATGACCAAGTGGGGTCATCTTCCGGAAAATGATATTAGGAGTCAAAATAGGTTGGAAATCACTTCGGATTCGGAATCAGGACGCCCAATTCACTAACTATTACGTAAGATACAGGGGTGTTCCATATGAAAAGTGAGATAACAATGAATTTTTCAGAACCGAAAAATTATCAGGAAATATATGAGAAGTTAGTGAATTGATCGTCCTGATTCCGAGTCCGAGGTAATTTTCATTCTATTTTGCTTCCTTATATAATTTTCCTGAAATTGGGGTGGTTCCATGGCCATTGGCGAGCAGTGTATATCACTAGAGATGACCCCACCTGGTCGTAGAGTGCATTTTCGGTATATCTCTCTCTCCAGCAAATTTCAGGATTCTAACACAACGATTACGTAAGATACGGGGGTGTTCCATATGAAGTGAGACAAAAATGAATTTTTCAGAACCAAAAATTTTTCAGGAAGAATATGAATAATCAGTGAATTGGGCGTCCCGATTCCGAATACGAAATGATTTTCATTTTATTTTGCCTCCTAATATCATTTTCCTGAGATTAGGGTGGTTCCATGGCCATTATTGGTATAGTGAGTCCAGTATATATCACTGAAGATGACACTACTTGGTCATCGAGTGCAATTTCAGTATTTCTCTCGCTCCAGCAAATTTCAGGATCCTAACCCAACAATTACATAAGATACGGGGGTGTTTCCATTAAAAGTGGGACAAAGATGAATTTTTCAGAACAGAATAATTTTCAGGTGAAAAATATGAATAATTAGTGACTTGGACGTCCTGATTCCGAATCCGAAGTGATTTTGATTTTGTTTTTCTTCCTAATATCATTTTCCTGAGATTAGGGTGGTTCCATGGTCATTGGCGAGCAGTGTATATCACTGAAGATGACCCTACTTGGTCATAGAGTGCAATTTTAGTTTATACCTCGCTCCAGCAAATTTCAAGATGCTAACCCAACGATTACTTATATATTTCCATTAGAAACGTTATCGTGACACACTGTGTTTATATTCTGTCTTCTTTTTTGACTGTGTATATAAAATTGTGACGATTTCTATACATATACAGGGTGTTTCAAAAAAACCTAACCCCCTTGCTAGGGTAGGTAGAACATTGCAAAATAAGTTGAGTTTGCTCAGTGAAAAAATGTAACACGATCCGTTTTCAAGATACAATAAGGTGTTGAAAACATTTTTTTTACACATTTTTTACGATTATGTTGAAACTACTGGCAACATTGTGATGAAATTTTGTATGGATGTGTTTTGAAAGCTGACACATCGCATGAATTTGTTTTTATATCTGACACTCATAGAGGGCGCTAGTTACACGGTTCGTACCGAGTACTTTTAAACATAACTTTTTTGAGGTAAGATTTTTCACTCCAATAAATTTAATGTGAACTTGAACATCATTCAATTTTACACTAAAAAGGTGCTTCTCGTAAAACTTGTTACTGTGTACCGTTTTCGGGATATTTTGATTTGAATGAAATGCTGAAGTATATATAACACTGATGCTAATTGAAAGTAAGTATTATAAAAAGGATTTTTACCTATTTATTGATAACCACGTCAAGAGCTGCAAGAAAAAATTGAACATTACTTCGATGATCTCATAGCTGATCCTCAACCGTTGAGAAGATTGATGCATTCTTTGAAAAATAGGATCGAATTGTGTATTCGTGAAAATGGAGGACATTTTGGACACTTACTCTAACTAGATGATGTTTTAAGTCAAATTTAATTAAAAATTTTCTGATGTGATTTTGTTTAATCGATAACTTCAGCAGTAAAATAATATTAATGTTTTTTGTCCTTAATCAATAATTGTTTTTTATAATACTTATCCTAATACCTACCAGAATCAGAGTTATATATTGCTTCAGCATTTTCAAATCGAAATATTTCGAAAGCGGTACAGAGTATCGAGTTTTACCAAGAGCATCATTTTGAAGTAAAATTGAATGGTGTTCAAGTTCACATGGAATATGGACTGAAAAATCCAACCTCAAAAAAGTTACGTTCAAAAGTACTCGGTACGAACCGTGTAACTAGCGCCCTCTATGAGTGTCAGATATAAAAACAAATTCATGCGGTGTGTCAGCTTTCAGAACACATTCATACAAAATTTCATCACAATGTTGCCAGTAGTTTCGACATAATCGTAAAAAATGTGTAAAAAAATATTTTTTCAACACCTTGTATCTTGAAAACGGATGCCGTTACGACATTTTTCCACTGAGCAAACCCAAAACTTATTTTGCAATGGTCTACCTACCCTAGTAAGGGGGTTGGGTTTTTTGAAAAACCCTGTATATGTTTAAAGAAAAATGAATGAATTGAATAGTAAAGTACCTTTCTTCATTGGTCCAGAAAATTGCGATCGCCGCAGATCAGAAGATATGCTGGGTGGTTAAGTTTTGAAATGAAAACCCTCTGTGCTAACACTACCCAATTACAGGTAAACATCAAAACTTGACATTCCCTTGGCATCAGTAGGGGTGCGTTCCACTAGACAAGCACAACGCTCGTCATAAATGACGTTTTCGATTGTTCGTTTGTTTTCGATCACGCCGCGCTCACGGCGACCAATGTCTTCAGGTGAGTTGATGTGGTTATCTGGTATTTTGTAAACAAATGTGAATATTTAATAATGGCGACCGTAACAATAACATTATACGATTCAGAAAAAGATCTACTTCTTGGAGTGAACGTATATCCAGAAGATGCTAGGCGTGCAGAAAAAGGTAAAGAATAAAATAACAGACTAACTGACGGGTGCGTTTTTCATTCCAACATTTTATCATGCGCATGAATCGAAGTAACCATCAAACTGTTGCAAAATTCCGCTGGAATGTTGATGGACATCCATCAAACTGTTGTAATAAAATGCGCACTTTTAAATCGCATTTCGAGAATCCAGCAGTTTGGAGGAGATTGACATGACAGTTGACACATTTTAGTGTTGTTTTTTGTTTTGATTTGATCTCAATAGAAAACAATTAATATTGAGGATTTTTGAGATTCTTGAGAGATTTTAGAAGAAAGAGTCAGTGTTAATCAATAAAGTCGAATTAGCCTTTTCTGATTCTCAAGATACATGATGACTGACACACAACAAAATCCGTGTTTCCATCAATGTGTTGTATAAACCATTGTTCAATCCTTCCAGCATAAATTCCAACAGAACAATTGGTGACGTCACGACAAAAAACCGCATCTATCAGAGCGCACTTTCTTCGATGGAATGAAAACACGCCCGTTGTCTTTTATAATGTTCCCATTACATTACTTTTAAAGTACCTACCCCATAAAACTGGAGGAAACATGAACTGGAGAATTCAAAAGTAGTTCGTCATCGCTTTAGTGCAATTATTGCATTATTAATTGCATTGAACATAATTATTTTATGAAAAACTTTGTATTACTATTATATTGTTAAATTCGTGAACAGACTTTTCTATTTATTCACATGTCTTGCCATCGCTCATTGATCTGAGATTGAGATGCTCTGAGATTGTGATCAAATTAAACCCATTCCACTTGGGAGGATGACGAAAGCAATCGCGAACTAGTCATATGCTAGTGGAACGGGAATAACCGCAATCGTGAACGTGTGCTTGCCTAGTGGAACGCACCCTATAGGTAGATCAAAAATAAAAAAATAATGTTTTCCGTTATCACAATTATTATACAATAATTATCCAATCATTTTAAAATATAAAATGATGCACTAATGGAGTTTAGAGACAGAGTGAACAGGCGCAGAATGAAACGGCAAGTTATGGATTCCTCTATCGTTAGACACTGAGGTAATAATGACGCAAACAACTGACAAAACATTTTGAGTAGGAAATAATTATATGTATATTTCTAATAGATTAAAAATAATATAATGAACTGTTTTGTACAACATTTAATATATCACATGGTATTATGAAGTTCCAACGCATTCATGATTCTCTAACCATAGTATCCATGGCTTGAACAGCTCCAAGTTCATCCAAGTTTTCCAAGAAATTCCTTATCGTCCATAAAGAATTATGGTTAGTCTGAAAAACAAAGATATGAGCAATACAATAATTTAACCTAATTTGTAGCAACTTAGCTACAATATATTATTGGCCTAGAAATACACCAAATTTCAAAATAAAATACATTACATTCCAGTTGAGGATAAAGTAGATAACGTGAATGGCAAAGACCATTTTACACTAGCAAACCCTCCAAATACTAGACATGCAGAGTTTAGTAGTAAAGCAATTATACATTTCTGTAGCTATCAAGAGTATTGATACTGTTTGAGTTGATCGAGGAGGTGGAATATTCATTTCTCTAGATTTTTTGGAAGAGATAATCTCAAAAAAATTATATAAAGAAATACATCGACAGTAATTTTTGCAAGGCACATATCAGTGACAACCCAAAATATTATAAAAACGTGTACATTTTGCTCAGAACAGGACCAGGTCGGAAAGCCCTCTAACATGTGTCACCAATCACAAGTCAATGAAAAAGGCATTTTCTTCACAGATAGGGTTGACCCCATGCTATGTTATCTTCCCTACGTTCATGGAAAAACTAGGAGTGCCCATAATTTCCTTTAACATTAGTGATATTTCCATGGACGATGCTTTTCTGAAATATCAACAATTGTTCCTCCCTTGGCAGTCCCCGCGAGATTAACACGTCGAGTTGAGGCTTCGCACCCTTTCCAAAAGAATCGTTCATCCAACGAACAACGAGGCTCTGGAACACATTGCCAAGGGAGGTGTTCCCCTAGGCATATAACCTTCAGAAATTTAAGAAGAACACCAATTCCTACCTTATTTCCCTTGCCACATTCTTTCACTTCGCCTTCTAAACGAACAAACTATATAGTAGACCAGTAACGACTGCCTATGAATGCATGTAAACGAATATTTGTCATACAATCATTCATACAAAAACAATTGAAGAGTTTCATGCCGTACCTGCACTCATTTCAAAGGGAACTTCAAACCCTTAGACGCAGCACGGTGCGGGGATATTCTGCATTTGGTTTTGGATATACCATACACACTAGTCGAATTTGCACCACATACCTATCTCATATCGATCATTCCGAGAATGCATTGTCTATGATGCAATCGTTCGTTATTTTATTTGAACCCAAACTATTTTGTGACTCTGGCAACAGCGTAATGCCTGTTCACAGTAATATCAAGAACAGAACATAACTTGAGCCTAACTTCCTGACGTCATCCTCGTCTGTCACCTCCATCTTCAAATCCCATCTATCTAGTCAAATCCAAAGTCAAATCTAACAAATACTGGGAATATTCAAAGATAATTCTCATATTATCTGATTCATCAGTTGTGTTTTGTGTTCTCTGTTATCTGCAGTAAGTATTCAGTCCAGCAAATTCATTTCATATATTGATAACAGAAATATTCTTGCACTTGTCTTACAGAAATAGAGAATGGATACGTAAGTCGAATTGGATTGGATTGTTTACAGGTGATTACATCACAAGTTTTTCCGCGTTTTTCAGGTTATGAATTATCGTGAATTTCAAAAACTATTTAAAAAATGTACAGAGCTCTGAGAAAAAAAAAGTTCGTGATAATAGACTAGTTAGGGTTAGTACTTTGGAATAATAAAATGGTTCACTCACTCACAAAAATTGAATTATTTCCATTTCTATACCTTCAAGGATTCGTTTTCAACCGTAAAAGGGATTGAAATATTTGAAATTAGTGAGTACAAAATTAATGATCCAAGTGTGTGAATGATTTCAGTGATTTATATTCAGATTATACCTGTGCTTCAATACTAAATTATACCTCTAAACCAGTTCAAGAATGGATGTCATAACAGATTTAGTGATTTAGCCTGACCACCTTCCATGAGATAACTTTCAAATGATTCATGTATTTTATCTTAAGAATGTGGATTATTTGTTCACGTCAAAAAACAAAAAAAGTAGGTTTTAGAACAAAAGGAAGATAATAAAACCATAACCACAATCAAAACGCAGTTATCAGCAAAGTTTGGTGTAGAACTGATTTCAAGTAAAAAAGTAAAAGCGGGCACTCTGCACGGATACCTGGTATAATTATTTTCTGTTTTCTTAAAAAACAAATAGAATCCACTCCAAAACCTTTCAAACTAGTATCTTATTATAAGTCCTTCTATTTCAAGATTTAACTGTTGGATATTACTGAAATATAGAATCTATGTTTCGTCTGGATTCGTCATTTCTACCGGGATCTAATAATTTCGTAAAAAATTTGATGCATGCTGTCCAAGTCAGGAAATCAGGATTATAAATCATTCTACAGGGTGTTCCTGAAAGGTCTGTACAACATCTCAGCTCATATTCCTGAGGTCAAAATAAGCCGATTTGAAGCAATTTACTTCACACTACAAAATTGCTCCAGATACAGGATGGTAAAGTTGCAGAATAAAATTCAAGGTTTTTAAAATTTATGAACATTTCTCAATGAATTACTACAAAAATTTGTTGTCTGGGGTTTTTTGAGATGCGAAACCCGAATACGGAAAACTTTTTATTGGGGCCATTAGAGGACGCTTACCAATGCATTTCTTATAGTTTTGAATAGCCATACCTTTTTTGTCAGTGTAGTTTTTCAATCTTATCGTTGAGGAAGTAATTACCAAGCAAAAAAGGTACTCCTGTGAAAATTCTCTGAAGTAAGCAATGTTCGAGATAATTCGGTTTTCAATGTTCAATGCCGCACCAGAATATTCAAATTATTTTGAATAAAAAATGTTTGCTGTTATCTTCGTAAATGTAATTTAGTCAGTGAATAAGCAGTTCAGAACTGATTTTATGAATTACTATTTTCGAGTGTACGTGTCACATTTTTATTTTTCAGTCACATTTCCATTTTTCAACCTCACCACCCTGTATCTCAGAAACAGAGTAAATCTGGACTAAGGGAAGTTGCTTCAAATTGGCAGATTTTGACCTTACCCAGCAAACATTGAAATACCGGGAGAAGTCCGGCCTAGTGCAGTTAAGTCTGGAAAAGTACAATGCTGGAGTATTGGTAATGGGCCGATGATTTCCTTATGCTAAGTAACCATCAGTTGATAATGCGATGATAGCCTTGTGATGGTAAGATGTCTGGAACCAGTTGAGCACTTACGAGTTGTAACCCTTTGCTGACCAATATCCTGCTCACTACTTGTCCCCCTGGTGGATGTTCTGAGAACTTCTATCAACAATCAGCTGGTCATTTGGATCATTACTTTATGTGACTCTACTGATAGAGTCTGTTTCGTTTTTCTCTGGTTTGTTGTCGAATTATTGTGCTCCTCACTTGCCCTGGTCGTTATTTATGACGACAGGAGTATTCTCAATTGATGATATAGATTGATATTGGATTGGGTGAGTATCAATCTACCTATCTAGTGTTTCGAATTTCATTATGAAATGCTTTGGTATCTCATAACTTCATATACCTACTGATCATAATAATTGGAGTGGCTCTACCTCTCCAGAAGCATAACTTATAGGGATATGTGCTAAGATTTTGCACAGACCTTTTAGGGAACCCTTGTATATCATAATAGATTTCAGCTGTGAAAAAAAATTACATGAATGATTTTTCATAGACTTAACGGTAAATGAGTCTCATATTCATTCAGTAATACTTTCCTCAGATACCAGTTTGTGGTTCTAACAATTCTGAGAAACTTCAATGTCATGTTCATAATGGTACATTATATTTTTCAAATTGAACTAACCTCCACACAATATACTAGTAAAGCCTTGCTCATACTGCCATCAGAGTATATCACACCACTACTGATCAAGTGATCGACTGTTAGCAAATCGGATAATGGACCCCAGTTTCTACTTCTGTCAAGCATGGCGGAAACTTCATCCAAACATTTTGGAGTGAAATTGGTGACTTTTGCGTACAGTTTCTCCAATTCATCAAGTGGAATTTGTGGTTTAACATCTTTCAATTCAATTTCCATCTCCTCTTCTTCTTCTTCTTCTTCAGACTCCGCTTCAATTTCTTCTTTCACCTCAATTTTGATACCACGATCATCCTAATAAAAAATAATCTTATGTAGAAGTTGATACTTTTCTCTAAGTGGAGTGTATTGATGAAAGGGTTAGAACATAATCTCCACAATGTTTAAACATTGATTGATTATTCAGGAAACATGTTTACTATAGTAATACTTTATTTTCCAATAAGACAATATTACTAATATGAAGTTAACCTTCGGTTTTGTTACCTTTGTAAATAGATTGTTTAATTGGTAAAAAAAAATTTTTTCAAAAAAATTTACCATGATTTTCAACATGAGAATTTTTTTTTTAAACTGCCAACTTTAGAGCTTATGACCACGAGAATCTTTTTTGTGTAGAAAACATTGACCGTTTGAATGGGCAACTCAAAACTGTACTTTTTCCAGTGGCGTAGGAGTTGGGGAGAAAAACATAAACTAACCCTTCAAATTTCAACACCCTGTATCGCGAAAATGGTGCATTTTAGAGAGGAAGTTAGAGAGAGCTATGAGATCCTGAAGTCCTGCGCATATATTTTGAAATACCCTGTATTGATGAGCAGCTGATAAGAGTTGTTCCGCGATTGAGGTGGCAGGAGTGGTTTTTGTTGATAGGCTATATTATTATTATACAACAGATTTATAAATGAGCAAAGCTTTATCAAATAAGACATTGAATTATGTCACTGGCTCCCGGGCTATTAGTATAAAAGGATATAATGAACAATAATGGGTATGCCTAATAAAAATCAGCAGGGAGATTCTATTTCACGAATCGAGTCGAATCGGCCATCTTTATTCGATATTTGGTATTCTGTTTCTCGAATGATTCGTGTGAACTCGACTCGATTCCTCGATAGCTCAAGAGGAGTCGAGTCGATGCGTTTTGTCAATCTATCCTCATCTATCATCGTATGTTTATTTTCATCTTCATCCCAATTTTACGTTAGATCATCTTGTTTATGTGAAAGCACAGCAGCTTTGAAAGTGTGTAATCAACTTATTACTTCATAAATATAATATATAATCAATTTTCGATGTCGTTCAAACTCAGAGATGCCCACTGGGAAATGTTGATAACATTTTTAGAACAGCACAGAACATGGCCACGGCCACAGGATGATTTTCAGATTGTAATGGTCAATAAAATACTGTGAATCAAGCTAAGCCAAGTAAATTTATTGGAGCTTGGCGAGTGAACCCCTGAGAAATGACATAAGGTAGCATCTTTGCTATGATCCAGTTGCATAAAACCTCAATGCACAGAATATTTGAGATTCTGTATACTTTGACCTATCCACTAATAAGAGGGGGCCTCAATGATTGTATCAGAAGACGAACCAACCTTTTGTTCAATCTAAATAGCTCAATAAATAATTTTTCAGGTAATGAAAAAGGATTAGATAGGTACCTACTTCTGTTTCATAGTTCTTGTTGTTGTTGCCTATCTTTAGCTGCTGAAATACCATCACGAACAATTAGTTATTTTTATTTTTGTCTTGGGGTTGAACAAATTGAAATTCATGGAAACAATATAACCACCATAACCTTATATTTGTGATGGCTTTGGGGCTATGTCCTCGGTGCTCGTTTCATTGGACCAAAATCTCATCCCATTTCGCCAAAAAACCGACGATTTCCGAAATCGAAATTCGATCGTGACTTGATCGAGAAATAGGATAGACTATGAATTCGACTTCGAGTTCATCATCATGTAACATCAACTTTTAGTAAATGTTACTTTTTCTATGAAATATTGATAGTACCAAGTATTCAACTGACCTTTTCAGAATAATTGATTCAACTCTGGTTTTCACTGAATGTATTTTGAGTACTTGCATTCCCTTTTGTAGGATATTTTGAGCTTTTCTGTTACAGATTTCATGGAGCTACGAGTCACTGGCATACATCGGAGATCATCCTGTATATTTTTTGCATAATTGATTTTAATAGCATGTTATGTTTTGTTGACTTGATGAAAGTTCATTATTTCGGTTTGTTTTGAAAATATTCATATGAAATGTCAAACGAGTTGTTAAGGTTGTAATTTTAATTCTTCTTTTTCTTTTGTTCCTTTGTCCCTGGTAGCATTAACGAATAGTTCAGCGTTCAGACCTTCAACGAGCAGGATCGCGATAGTAACATATATCAAGGTTGATAAACTTCGCTATATCTTTAGAATGTCTAGGTAGTAGGCCGTCAGCGTTTAGTTATTGTTATTGATCTGTATTGATTTGTATTGATTATTCATTTGAACCTGATATCGGTTATTGCAACGGTTGAATCGAATCTGGCTATTTGGTTACTATGATTTTTTGACTTTCATGACATGGACATTTGAATTTCCAACTAAAAAAGAGGAAGAAAAATTGAAAATCGTTCATTTCTGCATCTGGCCATCATTGAATGAACTCGTAGGTGGATGTCCGCTAGATTACATTTCTGATCATCCACCATTTTTCGTGAGAAACATCTGATTAGAGGTAACTATTCAATTATTTAGAATATTTTTGATTTATAGAAATTATTATTTTTATGGAATTTGGTCCATATTCATGGAAATTAATTTGTGAACTTTCATCATCTTGAGGTTACGTTATTATAACATGTTTTCTATTTTTCTTATGTTATAGTTCCGCCAGACTGTTATTTACTGTTATTGTACTTTTACTTGCTATTTACTTTTAATCCTCACCTTTTGGATTTGGAAAATACTGTAACTATTTTGCTGACAAATGCTTTTTTATGGACTCGAAAGAGTAAGCATTTGTGCAGATTTTTGATGAAACAATCTTCATGGAAAGATTGTCCTGGCTTTTAGAGCCGATTTATTGTTCCTGTTGATGCTGGAAGGCTATTGATGTAAATTTCAAGAAGATATAGATAATTTCCAACTTGATGTCATAAATTCAACGTACTGGCTGGACTAAGCATACTTATAGGTCACCTGACATCTCACCAGACTCGTATGCTCATGAAATCTGGAACCAGGAGCCCAAAATGATAATGAAGTTGACCATGATGTAATTTGGAAGCTGGAAATATCAATAAGCTCTGGTCAAACAACATTTTCTGGCTTATTCACAGTCTTGCTGACATAAGGTATTCTCTGCATATTATAAAGTTTTCACTGATCGTTTGAAACATTTATTATCAAATCTTTTATAATCTAAAATCAAGTACAATTTGGAATCTAGTACGATTGAAAAGTCATTATTCAATATTCCTAAATCTGTGAAGGTGTAATGCATTATATCTGGGGAATATTCCATTGATTATATTGATTAGATTTATTCAAAGCTGATGATCATTGTGTCAAGTTTCACTGATAGAAAAACGTTTATTTAACACCCTGTATAATAAATATGCACACCTAGTTGCATTTCAGGTGCAGTCAAATTTATTTGTGACACATTTATATTATGAATGTTTGTGATGCAGATTTGATACTTCGAATAACCTTTTTAGTCAGTAAATGAACCTAAATTTTATTTGTTTGATTTGTTTTCCTATCCTTCAGCACAGACAATTTCTTTCTACAGGGATTGGCTTAAGAAAGAGGTTTGTTGAACTTTATTTTCTGTAGATGGCATCCAAATAAAATCTTATCTGGTGGAACTATCTTTCTTATGCTAATTGTTATATTTTTGACAAAGTTACATTATATGGTAAGTAAATGAACCACGACCTATTTGCCCCGACTATATGAGCTGACCGTTCGCACAGTGTAACCTGGAATTTCTAAATTTCTCACGTTTAAGGGTTATAATCATATCGTACGACAATCGACGATCGTGAAACAAAATCCCCCTACAGGATGTCGCTCGATGGGTGTGCATTCTACCCGTAGGTAAAGGAACGTCTAACATCATATTCGTTTGAATATAATAGTTCTTACTGGCCAATCTTCTGACGATATTATTTTCGATTAACCTAGACAGTTATTGGTATTTTGACGTTTGTAGTTAATAGTTGCTAGTGTGTGTGTTTTACAATCCAGTTTCTCATCTATTTTTTCATTGATGATCAGCGTTGTATGATTAGTGTATGATTTACATAAGACGAGGACAACCAAAACTGGGTTTCAATCTCCCCATGAAAATGCGAAACACTTGTCGAGGCTTTGGAAAATTGGTTTGGTTAGTGGTAAAACATTGTAGTATGTAGAAATATGATAATAAAAACAATGATAGAATGTTGACATTGTCGACTATGAGTATCTCAACACATGAAATCAGTTGAAATAATATATATACACTTTTCAATCAGAACACGTTTGAGATCTCTTTTGAAATCATCATGATTTTCTAAATTTCTTGTGATAATGGGAGACTTATCAAAGTACAGTTGAAAGTTTTGACACACTAAATGATTGGTTATGTCTTGTTGAATATTTCCTGAAAACTGATTAATTATTCTTGGCATATACAATGTTTTTTAAATGTATATTGTTGACAGAATGACAATATTATATGAGCACAAGCGAGAGATATGCTTGTACAAGCTGTTTGATACATTATTTAGTTGTAATATAGCATAGTAAGCACAGCTCAGATTTGTACATATAGTCTAAGTTTAATTTTAACAAACAGTATTACGACAAAGAATTCAGTTACAACAGATAGGCGAATGGAAGAATAATTGCACAGCTAAAGTTTCATCAGAATTCACAATCGAACAATTCTATTTGCACCACAATACAAATTTTTCCGTAAATTCATTGAGTTTGAGTAAGTTCAGTAGGATACTCAGCATCTGCTGCACAGGGTGTGTTACAGATTGAGGAGCTAGACGTCAATTAGAACCTATTCAATAATAATGTTATTTAAGAGCATACTTCCCTCAGTATAAAGTAAAAGGTTTTCAAAATATTCCCCATTGGTTTTCGTAAATGAAAAAAATGAAATTACATTATGAGAGATGTTTTCTTTCTGACATGTATTTTCTCTTCATATCATTTTTGTTTCGTAGTTTTGATTTGGTGACCAATTTCTACATATTCACCTACCAGTTCACACTAATTTGTTTAATTACCAGGTGAATTGAAGAACATTCCAAATGTATTTGAACACAGGAGGTGTCTCTAACAATTTTTTTTCATAAAAATCTCGAAACCCGATTATGTCGTCAGCAGTAATGCTGAATTGAATGAATATTTTTCAAAAGAAGCACCTTCCTGACTTGATCTTTTCTTGAAATTGTTTTCAGGACTGGCTGAAGGACCTCGGTCGATGGCCCTTTGAGTATTTATACACAATAAAGTTCATTTTGTTATTGTTGTTTTCAGTTTGTGAAAAATGTAAACACATAATGAGAGATGCTTCCTTCCTGACATGTATTTTCTCTTCATATCATTTTTGTTTTCAGATGTAGTTCTGATTTGGTGACCAATTTCTACATTTTCACCTACTAGTCGACACTAAATTGTTTAATTACCAGTTAAATTGGAAAACGTTCCAAATGTATTTGAACACATCAATTTTTTAAATGGAAATCTCGAAATCCCGAATCTTTTGAACCATGAGACTGAATTGAATGATTCATGAGAGAATTTGAAAAGCATCTATGTATTTATTGAAATGTAAGCTAATTTTATAAAAATATAGCAAATGGACCTCAAATAGTTACCTAACAAGTGCGGAAAGTAGTAGAAAAGACATTTTCCGCAAGAGTTAGGTACAAAGTTTTTCCCACCAGTGTGTTTGTCCATATTATTCACAAAAGAAAAAAGGTTTTTGAAAAACAATATTTTATAATGATGCTACAAAATGACACATTAGACAGAAAAGTTACATTGATCATTTATTTAGTCCTAAATATCCTTATTTTCAACGATACAAAAATCGTGCGGAAGAGTAACTTTTCAGCACTATTGCGGTAAAGTAACTTTTCTGCTCGATATTTTTATGCTCTGAAAAATGATGAAATAGATTTTTTTTTATCCATATAATAGGAAACTTATTTGAAGACCATTTTAATAACAATAACTAAGACATTAACAATGGTGAATATTGAAATTGAAAGTGCAATTTGTGTTTGTTGCATGCTGTAATATAGCAGACGCCGTAACATCTTGAAGAACGTCGTTTCTTATTTGAATTTGATTGGTTAGTGTTTGCATCAATTATTTCCGGGGGGAGATCTTGAAAGTTTCCTGAGTTGTCCATTCTCAATTGGAATTACGTACACGGAAAAATGACGCTTGAATGCTTATATTTATTAACCTCAAGAATCTTGGTATTCACTCTAAAAACAATTCATATCTTATCCCCGATCACCTGAAGAATGCTTCTGACATCAATTCATATTTCGTTAATTCTACCAGCAGCGACCTTGTTCTCGACTTGGACACAGTGAATCATTATTCTAGCCAAACGCGACATGGCGTGAACAGCTTCTCGTTCTCTCTAACATCGGAAACTGAAATTTTCAAAATATTATTAGCGATAAAATCAAACGCCACGGGTGCCGATCAAATCAATATTGCAATGTTTGCTACACTGCTGTCCTGTGATTCTTCCAATTATTTGCCATATCTTCAATTTTTGCATCGTGAAAAACGTATTTCCTTCTATTTGGAAAAAATCATTTATTCTTCCTCTGCCTAAAGTACATAATCCAGAGGATATGAAATCGTTACGCCCAATTAGCATTCTATGCACGCTCGCGAAAGCTTTTGAAAAAATTATATTCCTTCAAACACAAATGCATATAGATGCGCACAATATCATACCATCATGCCAATCTGGCTTTAGGTCCCAGCATAGCTGTGTGACCGCTATTCTTGAGGTCACAGACGACATACTCACTGCAATTGACAGAAATCAATTGACTGCTCTGATCATGCTCGATTATACAAAAGCGTTTGATAGAATTAAACATCAGCTCTTATTAGCAATTCTACATTTCATTGGATTTTCTGCAGGTGCAGAGTCATTACTAGAATCATATCTAACTGATAGATTACAAGCGGTATTGGTGGATAAGCAGATGTCTGAGTTTTTGGCAGTGGAGAACGGCGTTCCACAGGGCTCGATTTTGGGCCCTTTACTATTCATCATTTATACACATGAATTTCATGATTATATAAAGTTCAGCAAGTGTCACTTTTATGCCGATGACACGCAGATTTATTTGTCATTTCCTGAGACTGACCTTTTGGAAGCTAAAACCAGATTAAACTCTGACCTAGAATCAATTGTATCGATATCTGAAAAATTTTGTCCATCTATGAATCCTGGAAAATCTGTGGCAATGCTGTTTGGTAGGAAAGTGGCCCGTACTCGTTGTGTGGATGCTTTGAATTTCACAATTAGGGATGTGTCAATTGAAAATTATCCTTGACTCCAATTTGAATTTCAACAAACACATCAATTCGATAATTAGACGGGCGTTCTGCAACCTGAAATTGATTTATTCCAACAGGAAAATTCTCGATAAGCGGAGTAAAATAACCTTATGTGAATCCTTAGTTCTCTCACATCTCAATTATGCGATGACATCATTTATGGACCTGCTACTTCAAAGAGATGCGCAACGCCTATATCTTGTTCAGAATTCTTGCGTTCGTCTAATTTGTAGGCTAGGCAGGAGAGATCACATATCTAGTCCACTTAGTGATCTAGGTTGGCTGAATATTGAGAGGAGGAGGATTCTGCATGCCTGTACTCTCATGAGGTAGTAACGACTCAGAAACCACCATATCTTTTCCGGAAGATCACCTTTCGCACTGATATCCATAATATCAATGTCCGTTTTAAATCTCGACTAACTCCACCTATTCACACCACTAGTCAATATCGATCATCATTTTCTTACTCGATTTCAAAGCTGTACAACTGGATTCCGGAAGCTCTGAAGAAAAGTAATATCCTGGGTTTCAAAAGTCGTATGAAAAAACTGCTTTCAACTTGTGAATTGCAGTTGTAACAAGTCCAAAATCACTTCCTGATCACGTGTTAATATTGGCTGTAGCTATATAGAGAGCTAAAATTTTTTACTAGATATAAGTTTAATGAATTGTCTTGTATTTTGTTTCTCTTTTTTTTCTTTAATTTTTGTTATTTCCTATTATTATTCAGAATACCCTAATCAAAATAATGTTGAAAAAAAATCGCAGATATTCCACTGAAGAATTATATCAAGAAGCCGGTAAATTTAAAGTAAGGAAACTTTATGCCTATGAGTGTCTACTATGGATACTGGGCAAACCTATAGAAGTAATTTCTCATCCACATAATACACGCTTGGCTTCAACCCATGCTATGAATATTCCACGATGTAGGCTGAGTCATAATCAAAAATTTATCACTTATTTTGGTCCTAAATTGTATAATCAACTACCTGTCTCTATAAAGAATATCAAGACACATAAGAAACTGAAATCAGAAATAAAGTTATTTATTACAAATCATTATGATAAGTTGCGGAATATTTTCGAATGAGCAAATATTTGTCTCTCTCTCTCTTTCTCTTCTCTCCTCTCTCTCTTCCTCTCACTCACTCATTATAATGCGATTAGTATTCATTCTATTCATTGCATTAGTATAAGTATAATTGATAAGGGTAGTTAGTTCCAAATAAAACATGTATATTACATCTTCTAAATTTGATCATGGATGTATATGTATGTATGTGTATGTATATATGTATGTACGTATGAGGGCTATACTCATGACTTTCGCAGTCTGAAGTTCCACAATACAAGCTCAGCTTAGGTGGCCTCAGATTGTTAAGCATGATGTACTTCTTTTTTTTTTTCGACTTCGTATAATGTTCTATTGAAAATGTTATCAATCTGAATCTGAATAAATCTGAATCTGAATTATTTATATTTAAGGTTGAGTGGAAGAAAGCACTTGTCTGTTTCCTTAGGGATCAGACAAAAGCTAACTCTGCCCTTTGGTAGAATTGCACATATTTTTGTAACTATTTTGTATATTTATTCTTGTTTCTACCAATAAAAGCGTTTATTATTATTATTATTATTATTATTATTATTATTTGTTGACTGTCACTACTGTCAGTTTATAGCGACTGTTGCTATGGGTACGTTCTGGTGCCAACAGTTATCACCACATGTCTCCTGGTATTTCCTTCGAAATCGTGTGGAAGAGTAAAAATGATGCGGAAAAGTAAAATCGTACGAGAAAGTACAACTTTCAAAACGAAAAATCATGCGGGAAAGTTACTTTTCCGCACACTCGTAGGAAAATATGTATATATAAATCATCAGAAAATCGTAATTATAATATTGTTCATGAAATTGATTTTTCTATCGAATCAGGAATATCAAATGTGATAATGGATATTTATATGACATGTTGTACTGTTTTACCGAAAATGTTCGGCGATTCGACATTTCATTGCCTAAAGAATTTCACAAATGGCATTATCGTGAGCAAAATCAGACAAGCGAGCTGGAGTATGACATTCGGCGAAGATAGTATCACGAGTGGTGTTTATATTACTATTTCATGATTCAATATGACAATGAAAAATGCGAGCGTCTGAAATTATCACATGGTATCGCTTTTAGTTGCATGTAGGTCATTTCAACAAAACAAATAACATTTAATCATGCATGCAACAGTTAGTATTATCTCTCGAGATCAGATGCTTTTCGAATTCTGTAACTCTTCCCGTTTCCATATCTTCTTGGAATTCACTTGTTTAGAAATAAAAATGACTTACCATGTACTTTTGAATAACATTGGTGATGTCTTCTGATGTACTTTTGCTGATAGCAGCTAACAGTGGGGACACATTCATGAAATCCTTGATAGATGCATCCACATAAGGCAAGCTCAAAAGAAATTTCACCACATCGGTACGTTCTTTTTCTATGGCAAATCGTAAAGGCACGAAACCATTTTTATCGTGTATTTTATTGACATCAGCGCCATGCATGCAGAGCAATTTGATGGCTGCCATGTTTCTTCTTTCTATTGCCATAATGAGTGCTGTGTCCCCATCTGAGGAAAATGAGTGATTTTTGTTTGAAATATAATTACCTTATTGAAGTTATCTATCTAACAGTAATTGAATAAAGTGCTACTTCTGAATGGTACAATAACGCGTGACGCCATATGGATAGGACACTTTCCCTTCAATGACACTCAACTCAGATATACAAGGTGATTCTAAAATAGGTGGTCAAACTTTGGGAGCATATAGAGTGGGTGAAATAGTTACGAAAACCTATGTAACATTTTTTTCTGAAGTGACTCCCAAGAAAGATACAGCCCCTCAAAGGGGGGCCTCGGCGAATGATTTTGTATTATTATCTCCAACACCTTGTACAATAAAAATCTGAAATTTCGTCCATCCACTTACTATTCAGTGCCGGTTCGAATGGAGTTAAAATCACCTCAAAATTATATACAGGGGTGTGTCAAAATAGGGAGGTAGGGGGTAAAAATAACCCCAACTTTTTTGTTCATCGCAATTTTAGTTTTTTGACATGAAATTATGAAATCTCAGGGCTATTTACATAGAAAAGGTGCTTTTGTTGCATCTCGAATAAAATTTATTTTTTCAAGAATTCATTCAAATTGCGATTTTGGTATGTACTTAAGTTCAATTATCTAGGTCGAATCTCGCAACTGAATTTTTACCAACTTCTAATCGTCTGATCAACTTAGAATCTGGCAGATGACAGTTGACAATGCGTTATGGCGGCTCCAATGTGGCTGTCCAGATTTATGATTATTACGCTGAAGAAATGTTGCGGATCTCTCACTATTTCATCATGATAGAGCTTGCCTCTCTCTAGAATCTTACTAATCGAAAACTTCATCATCCCTCTCTTACATTCCTGCTATGCTCTCTAACTCAGTGTTAAATTCTACGTTCCATTCCGTTGGAGTTATGTTGTATGAAAATGTAATAAAATAAGGTAGAAAAAATCAGTGATAATGTTTCCATTCAAATGCTCCAGGAAGTGGAAGAAGATATCTAGAAGCATTTTTTTCTCATTTTTAGAGCATTCACCTCATTTCATCTTCAATTTTTCATTTCAATAGTCAAAATAATAAAAGCTCAGTATTTTTGATAGGATCAGACCATAATCACGAAACTCGTCGTTTATTTTCAATTCATGAATTCCGACAACGAATTCAAAATTTCCAACCCCTAAAACCCGTACAAACCAATTTTGAATCGAATCGGACCATAATCACATATCTGGTCAGCCACATTGGAGCCGCCATATTTTTTTCTATCAAAAAGTCCATAACGCGTTGTCAACTTTCATCTGCCAGATTCCAAGTTCACTCACTCTATATACTCCCAAAGTTTGACCACCTATTTTAGAATTACCTTGTATAATTGAAGATGAAATAGAGAATTAATATAGAAAATATCAATATATCATTCACATAACTGACACTATTTATGCTATATTCCCAACAAATGTCATTAGGCGTTTTCGGAAACTTACTCTGGGTTGTTGACTCGATCTGAACGGGTCACGTGATGGATCAGTCGGATCACTTATCCTAATACTATAGTTTACGAACTTATCAGGTTACTATTTTATTAGCTTTATACCTCTTGGAATAGAACTTCTTTATTTCCTACAGCTGTATGCAATTTTTTCAGTTTGCTATACGATATCAATATTTTCGGATCAATTTCTCCATATCTTTAAAAACATACCACTAAACTCTTAAAAGATACACGTTGTTATTGTTCTAGAAATGATGAATATTGCTTCTGCTCATGATGTTGGTGTATTTTCATCATCAAACTAATTCTATTCAACATAATTCACTTCTTGTTCAATTGATGAAATCAAATAATATCTGAAGTGACCTTAGAAATACATGAATCATGAGTAGTTCTGTGGTAGTAATTGTATGATCTAAAGTAGTAACTCTGGCTGACCCTGCTTTGGAGCAGGGTTGCGAAACATGAATCCGAGTTGGTGATCGAGTAAGTAACACCGAAGTTTCCGAACATGGGTATGTTACTCGGGTTAGGTAAACGAACGTGCATGTTAGGGATCGAGTCAACCCGAGTAGGTTTCCGAAAACGCCTAATGTAGTTACAAATCTTATTAGGGAACAAATTATAGAATTGTTCTGCTGAGCATAATGACCACCAAAATGAGCATGATAGATGCAAAAAATTTCGCATCCTATTACTACCCGAGCTATCAGTATTAATAACGTCTCATTTCCGAACACCTTTACATCAATACGTAGATCACTTCATTATAATGCCCTGCAATATTCAATATCATACTATCTCAGTTTAAAAATCGTCCTTACAAGTATAACAAAAAAAATATATTCTGATTGCTAGATAATGAAAGTTTCTACTGATTAGGTATTTTATGTTATTACTGTATATATTATAACACTATTAGATTTCATAATTTCATTATTACTATCTCTAAACCTCAATTGCGAACTATTTACATTTATTGTAACTTTAGTTAATAATAGTATTATTGTAAATTTAGTTAAAAATTGTTAAATGTAGCACATGCACATGGTTCAATGACTCAGAATTCTAATCACCCTGTATCTATTCTAATTAAATATCGTAAATCAAAAGTTGAGATAAGGATATGTGAGTCGTTTTGACCGATAATGGATAGTTTCCACAGAAAAAAGTCATAAAGTTGAAAAAATCTCGATTTTGACCACCCTATATCTATGAAATCAGCTCTTCAGGGAGGATCTAAAAATGCAATAAAATACAGGGTATATGATTTGAAATAACAAAATTGTTGCTACTTTTTTATAGAAGCGGCAACACTGCATTGCTGAAAATATTTTAAATGATGGGAGCATATGCATATTTTCATGGATTTCTTCCGACTGATTCTCGATATGGATATAGTGTAAGCTCGTCGCGACATAACCTGAATATTTACAAAGAGGTATGACAGTAGTTTTGAGAAAACGAAGTTCTTTTAGTTTTTGTGTCATAAATTCTTCTTCTAATTCAACGTATTAATTTTTTTCACCCCTGGCAATAGTGAGAGATATCTTATAATCCCCGTTAAATTATACTATGCATGTGTTCCCTATTTTTGATGTTCATGAAGATAGATATCCGATATTCAGAATGTATACAAGGTGTTCAAACTATTGAATATGGTTTAATAGTATGGACATTCGTCTTCTGTAGCACGAAAATTCTTGGTTCAACAAAAGATGTCTCAAAGTATTCATTTATTTATTGTGGGATGCAGACAGGACTTGCCCAAAAAATGCATCCTCTGAGTGGTTATATAGTTACAATAAGGAATAAATCATATTAAGATGATATGAGAAAAAGAACAATCAAATAGTTATTTATTATACCAGGGAAAAAATTAGTAGATTTTAGCGCCAGGTTGTGTTATCTCCCGACGCGTAGCGAATCAATATTGAGAAGATATCACATTATTTTGAAATCTGAAAATTATCGACGTGAAATTTTAAGTGTTTAACAGTAGGGACACCTGCGTTGTAGGCATCATTATCATTCTTTTGAAGTAATCAAATATCTGATGTCACTTGTGTCCGTCTAATTCTGTGATTTGATTTCAAAAAATTGCGAATTTAGTGATTGTTTAGTAATATACGTAACCGCGAAGTCTAACGGACTTGCAGTTCTTTCTCGGAGACGGTATTATTGACTAATTTTTCGGAACTATAGCACAACAAAAGCCATCAACAGTGTATATATATATATGTGATATATATCCAGGAAAAAAGTAATTTATGAAAAAAAAAAACAATTATTGGAGGGGTACAACTTGACAGATATTTTGAAATTTGTAGAAGCTATTTGCAGGTATGTTGATGCTTGTGGAATTTGATAAAATATTGTTGGTCTTTATTATCCTGTGTAGAAGGGAATTTAGAAAATAGTTTAAATTTGCTTGCTCGGTAAAAAATAAAAATAAAATAAAAGCATTTGAAATAAGGGTGCAGAGGATTGTTTAGACATCTTAAAATGTAAAAATTAAAATCAATTATTCAAACTTCTAGTACTCACTAGTATTTGTGGCATCAACATATTCTGAAATCTTTTCACAATCTCTATTACAGAGGAGCATCTCGAACATCTCCTTCGAGGAATCTTTCGTGACAGCAAGATGTAGCGGAGTGTTCAACTCGCCATCCGTAGCAGATATTTTTGCTCGACACAGCAGGCAAACCTTGACCAAATATTCATTGTGACAGAGTACACCAAGATGTAGGGGAGTTAGGCCATCACTGTTCTTATTTCCAATGAGGTGAAACTGTTTGTAATACGCTATTATTTTGAGGAGGAACATTGCTGCATCTGTATCCTTACGGCATATGGCAACATGAAGGGCGCTGAAAGAAAAAAAAAACTGATACAGATCGACCCGAAAAAATTGAAGAATATTTTACCAGCAAATTCTAACAACAAAATCAAAAAAGAAATGTAATATATTGTTGTGTGCTCAAAACAACACATAGTATAATAATATCACAGTTTGCTTTCAAATTCAAAGAACACACAACATTGAATCAAACAGATTTTTTTTATTTCATCACATACAATTCAACTGCCAAAACGAATTTCAATGTTTTTTTCAATTTGAGTATTTATAAATAGAAAATTTTGGATATCCCTAATTGCACTATGAAAATATTTTGGTATACTGATTTTCATTGCATTGACTACATATTTTCTACATTTGTATATCACATTTTACGTATTTGATACAGTTATTATCTTGAAACAACTTATCGAATTACCGCAAAAACATATCACGAAAATGCCCTGAAAATGTCTGGGTGGGTTCTTTCTCTGGACCAGTGAACTTTCGACGCATAAACAGAGTGTTTTGTATCACTCGTTTTTTTATTTTCTGATTTTGTATTATTCCCTCAATGACAATACAAACACTGGTTTCTAGAATGTCGTTTTATTCCACATATTATATAAATAATAGCTATTCATATGTCAAGGAAGCAAAGGAATCCATTAAACACACATTGGAGAAAATGAACCTTTGCTCCAAAGATATACAGGGTGGGTCACGATCGATGGCGCCTTAGACGTTTACGGAGAACGGGACATAACATCATTCTGAAAATTCGATTACCCAGGTAATTGCTCTTGATCTATCGATCTAAAATATTTTCAACAATGCAGCGTTGCCGCTTATACCAGCAAGTAGCAGCTTCTTTGTTATTTCAAATGGGACACCATGTATATTACCGCTGATTATTTCTGCTCCATACTATCCTATACCTATCTCTAACGGTTTTTGAGATATTAATTATTTTGCATATTTTTTATCCAAAACATAGCTCGAATTGAATGTATATTACTGCGGTATTTTAATTCTTAGGAAGTTGCAATTTTGTGTTTAGTTCATCAAGATCATGGTTATTGATTCTGTAGAAAGAAGTTTGTTCTGCGTTATACAGGGTCGTTCAAAATTCATGACCTTACTGCTAGGGTTGAAACTGAGTTTTTTTAAATGGAACACCCTGTATATTATGAAATATCCTGAAAGATGACTAAATTGCCTTCGAATTGATATATCATGTTCCTATACCTAAATAGCCAGAATTCCGAGATAGGAGCAAGTAATAATACCTTTGTGTGTTTCTCAACGGAAGTGACTCAAAAAGAATTGAAATAGAGGAAAATAACTATTCAAACGAAGTTCTCATGAAATTGTTCATTCTTGATGGAAAATGTGAGGGAATTATAGCAAGAACGTGCAGAAAATTCAATGAAACGTATCCTGATCTACAACCAACGAACAAAAATAAGTTTGTACGATTACTACATAATTTCATTGATTATCTGTCAAAAATTAGAAAACGTTCACAATAAATTTTCAAATGCCGACCATTGGCTTCGAAACATCTCAAAATCCGGGTATTTGGAGATACAGTTGTAGCCCTCCTTATTTCACTGGCATCTAGCTCTTCAATGCAGTTGATAACTCGTTGGCGCAGGTCTTGTTTACTGTGCACTGGTTTCATGTATACTTTTCTCTTCGAATCACCCCACAAGAAAAAATCAAGTTGGGCGAGATCGGGTGATCTCGCAGGCCAATTCCACGGACCCAAACGCCTGAACCAGCGATTGTCGAATATTTCGAACAACTCCGTTGTTACCTCCCTAGTGCAATATGAGCCGGTGCTCCATCCAGTTGAAACCAACTGCTACGATACGCTTCTAATAACAGATTGTTCAAGAAGTCGTTCACAACTGACCCTAGAATTTGAAGATATTTCGCAGAATTCAACAGTTCATCGTAAATAAGAAAACTTATTCGGTTATCCTTTAGAAGGCACAATACGTTTAAACTAAACTTTTCCTGATATCCCATTTCCTTGACAACATTTGGATTCTGATCAGCCCAGAAATGCTCGTTCATTGAATTTTCTGCACGTTCTTGCTATAATTCCCTCACATTTTTCATGGAGAATAAACAATTCCATCAGAACTTCGTTTGAATAGTTATTTTCCTTCATTTCAATTCTTTCTCAGTCACTTCCGTTGAGAAACACACGAAGGTATTATTACTAATGCACAAATTGTAAAATTTTCATAATGCATAATGATTGTACATCATGACATTTAATAGCCACCTTAGATGAATATGAGAAAAATAATTCCATGTTATTAGGAAATTGCTTCTATTGTGGAATTCTGGCTATTCAGGTATAGGAACATGATATATCAATTCAAAGGGAATTTAGTCATCTTTCAGGATATTTCATAATATACAGGGTGTTCCATTTAAAAAACGCACTTTCAACCCTTAGTGTATCTAGCTATAAGATCATGAATTTTGAACGACCCTGCATAACGCAGAACAAACTTCTCTCTACAGAATCGATGAACATGATCTTGATGAACTAAACACGAAATTGCAACTTCCTAAGAATCCAAATACCGCAGAAATATACATTCGATTCGAGATACAGAGAAGTGCACAATAAACGGCCAGTGCTATAACTTCTGAATCATTTGGGATCGGATTTTGAAAATTGGTGGGTAGCAAGTATACGAAATTGCTCAATAATTGACAAAGCAATTTTTGTTCCATCACTTCCGGTTTCACCGGAAACGACCCCAACTTTCGATTTTTAAATAGGACACCCTGTATTTTATTCCATAATCGGTTAGGGATTGTCATAAAGAATTCAACGATATCAGATTTGATAGGGTTACGATTACGAAGATATTCGCGTTCTAAGTTTCCATATGCTCAATGAGTGTGACTTCCAAATTTCGAAACTTCTTTCTCTGTCCCACTTATTGAGTAAATGGAAACTTACAATGCGAATATCTTCGTTGTCGTTTGAAGTAACCCTATCAAACCCGGTATCGTTGAATTCGTCATAATAATCCCTAACCGATTATGGAATAGAATACAGGGTGTCCTATTCAAAAATCAAAAGTTTGGGTCGTTTCCGGTTAAACCGGAAGTGATAGAACAAAAATTGGTTTGTCAATCAATGAGCAATTTAGTATACTTGCTACCCACTAATTTTCGAAATCCGATCTAGAATGATTCAGAAGATACAGGCCTGGCCGTTTTTGTGCACTTCTCTGTATGTTTTGGATAAAAAATATGCAAAATAATCAATATCTCAAAAACCGTTAGGGATAGGTATAGGATAGTATGAGACAAAAATAAAAATCAGAAAGTGATGATAAGTTAAAAAATGCGGTAATATACAGGTTGTCCCGTTTGAAATAACAAAGATGCTGCTACTTTCTGGTATAATCGGCAAAGCCGCATTGCTGAAAATATTTTAGATTGATAGATCAAGAACAATTACCTGAGTTACCAAATTTTCAGAACGATCTCATGTCCCGTTCTCCGTAAACGTCTAAGGTTCCATCGACCGTGACCCACCCTGTATACAGGGATTAGAGTTTTTCGGCTACCCCGCCTTCTCTATGAGACTCCATAGTCTAGCTTTCAGATCTCCTGTGTATCTCTGGGCTCCTGGTTTTTCCTCACCCAGCGTAAGGAACCTTAGTCTTGACAAGCCCTCATAGTGGCAAAGTATGTGTACTGCTGTTTCTTCCTCTTCTTGACAGAACCTGCACAGCAGTTCTTCAGTCAGACCTATCGTACTCATGTGTTTGTTGAGCCTACAATGCCCTGTGAGAAGTCCCACTAGTATTCTAGTTGAACTTCGTTTCTGGCTTAGTAGATATTCTGTGAATGTTGGCGATGTTTTTTTAATAAACTCTTTTGCCTGTCTCATTCCTGGCGAGCTGTACCACCATTCTTGGGATTTGGTTTGCATCCATGATTTGATACTAGTCTTTTGTATAGCTTTCGCAATACCACAAAAGGTTTCTGGGCCATTAAGAGCTTTGTTTGCTCCTGCTCGGGGCATTCAACTTTGGTATATGAATTCATCTTTGAATGGGTAATTTTTTGACCAGGAAGCCATTCCGGACATTTTATCCAAGTATATGGTTGGATAGACAATGAATATACCTTCCGAAAAAAAAAACATGAAAAGGGGATGTTTCCATTTAAAAAAATTATCGATGACGTCACCACAACTACGCGGATGACGTTACAAACTCCGTATGTATATCAAGAGGTGTCAATTTGAAAATAAAAATCGACCTGTCTCAGGATTTTTCTTCAAATTCATATGCGTTAGAGATAATGAATTAATTCCATACATTTCCACCAGACTGTATATATGAGGAAACATTTTTAAACGACACACAAAACTGGCGACTGTTGTTATACATATGTCATTTAAAATTATACCAGACACTGAAAAATGACATCAACAAATCATTGTCTAACAACCTTAGGACTACCTACTGACTGTTCAACAATTTTGAGCAGGTCTGATTCTATTGTCATTGACGCTGAGTCGCTCAGTTTGGAACTCAATGACTTCGACCTTAAATAATTATTCAAGCCGCTCATGACGAAAACCCGAAAGAAACACAATAACTATCATAGCAAATCTAACACAATGATATCTGCAAATGTATAACAGCGCGAAGTGCAAAACTGCAATAGTTCTGTGTCCTGGTATTCCCCGAATAGATGTCTCGAACTAAACATGCCACCAATACAGCATAGCGTTGCCAAATGTTGCCATCTATGCGTAATAACTTTTAGGAGGAGAACTACGGGGGCTGTTATAGAGTTGCTACTTCGGATAATATTTCGCAATCAGTGCGATTTCGAAAATATGTTGTATAGTTATAAGATATTATCATGGTATAAAGTACCCACATAAGGAAATATATAATTTGATTTCTGATCCAATTGATTTTTTGAAAAGTATTTGGAATTTTTTTCGCCCTCTGGGATTGAGCTTGTACTATAATCCGCCCCTGCGAACATACCATAGTAAGTTAGTTCAATGTGATGGAATCTTTCAATAAATCATTCGATCTCCTGTGTTTGAACGATATCTAATATTTACTTACTTGGTTTTTTCGTCTTCTCCCAGATAGTGTTTGATGACTTCTATCGCTTCTTGTTTTGTATGAGTGGATTTTATGAAACTTCGGAGTTCTTGAATAACCCTAACAGCTGTTCGTTCTTCGTCTTCGGTGACTTCCAGTTTGAGAACAACTCTTACTGAGGTGTCACTCATCTGGCACTCTACATGTCCGCGAATTTCAGTTTCATCTACACATATTTTCGAATAGTTCATCTGGGGCTCTGCCATTTCGTGATGTCTAGCAGAATAAAAAATATTATATTGATTTCAAAACGGGTAAAAATACGTCGTGAATTTCAGTATTGATTTCATAAAAGTGAAGCTTAGATAGATGATGAATTTTAGTACACTGATGGATTCTATTAAGACTCGCGATTATTGAATGTGCATTTAAATGAATATACTTCAAATACCATAGATAGCATGTACCATAGTTTGAAAGAATCAAGAGTTTGACAGTTTTAGGATCAGCTGCATTTGACAGAGGATTAAATATTTGTCTAGTCAAGTTAACAAATAATTCGATACAATGAAACAGGATGATCTACCTATACGATTCCTAAAATATTTACCAATCATTACATGAAGCTACAACTATGCTAATATTGAAAAGGTTATAGGTCAATAGCCCACGTGTGACTCATTCGAATTCCTGACAAATGTAACAATTCTATACCTGTCAAATAAAAATGGTGTTTTCGAATCAGTTAATGCTTCATCATCGGGAGATGATTAAGTTTTGTTTGACACCCATGTATTGAGAACCTTAGTCATAGAAACCCCCCCTCCTAAATAAAAAGGAAGAAAACTCATATGTCCCATATCGAAACCGAACCGATCGATGGCATTTGGATAGATAATGTCAAGAAGTCAATGTTAATCAGTGTCTATTGTGTCGCCATGACTGCTATTAGTTCAAAATTCGTCAAGTTTTTGAGATGTGCAGTTCACATTCAATTTTTTTCATGTACTATATGTTTTTCCAGAAATGATTCAGTCAATGGTCGAATTCGTTCGGCTTCCAAAATGTTTGGTGGCGTGATTCTGGACGTCACTAACTCTTGGATTTATTCTGGCTGGCATTTGTAAAAGGAAGGGGGCCAGGAAGCCGTGCGGACAGAGTGTCAATATTCTAATCCGCATTCGCTTGCCGGTCGTGGGTTCGATTCCCAGCGACTGCAGAAATTTTTCTGATGGTCCAAGAAAGTGTTTGGGATCACACGTTAAAAGGTAAGGCCCCCGCCATTCCTTGCTCACACAAGACTCTTCGAACACTTCTGAGGGTTGCTCGTAAGGGGGCAACCGAATGACGGATAGAACAACAGCAACAACAAGGTACGGTTTGGCATACTACTAGCCAAGAGGTCAGATATCAGTTCAGAATTGTGATGCATGTAGGCTGTTGATATCCCATTCATTTTGTGACCTCAGCGGAAATATCGAAAATTCTCAAAATTTCGTCATTTATTTTGTTTTCTGGAAATTTGAAGATATTCGTTCATTGCATTTTTCCCTTGTAATGATTGACAGGAAATATGTTATTTACGTCATGATCACAGTTTTTGTAAGGTTTGTGTCCAATGTGTTTTCAACTCTGGTTTCATTTCAAATCCTGGGGTAGTATGGTGAATTTATATTACTTTGACAAGTCAGAAATTGTCCGAAACCTGGAATGAGCTCGAGTACTTGCATGGAGGCCAGGAAGAACGTTCATGTCAGATCGTTTATTAGTAGTAGTAATAGTAGTTTATTCTGTGTGATAAAAGAAAATTTATATACATTCGTCAAGCAATATACAATAAAATATTGAAATGTTCCCTTTGTGCCAACAGTTTTTATCAAAATGTAGTCAAATTGACAACATAAAATTGATTTACATGATGGTAAATTATAACGAATATACAGAATGCATCTTAAATATTTTACAGAATGAATCTTAAACATACCCAGTGAATCTTAAACGGAGATGCTAGATTCTTTCGTTCAAGGAATTTAGCATTGGATGATGGACAAAGAAAGGAAATTTTAAGGAATATTACCAACGTTCAAGTACTTATTATATTATTGAGCAGTGAATCATCATATCAAAAGTAGGAACACACTAAATATTCAATGATTACAATATGAAGAACAAATAATAATAAATGTATGTCGCTGTTGTGTATTCCGACATCTGAGCTGATAATGGTATTTTGTAGTCCAGCTCAAACTAGCAACATAATAGATATTTATATATCAAGCGAGAAAAGGTATTCATTTCCTCCCGCGTGTGGGAGGAAATTAACCTTTGCTCTCATGATATACATATATTTATCAACGAACGCATTAATCTATTCTATTTCTCGATCCAAATCATTATGCGTTGCGGTATAGTATGTCATGGACAATTGACGGCATTCGAACGAAAGTCAATTTGACACTTCTGTTATCATGAATTGATTGATTTGTATACTGCATTTGAAAGTAGAAGTACATTTAGAATATGAGGAAGCGTATGATATCATTGGAATTCAGAAATTATATTGTTACTTGTTTTATAATAAGGATAAAGACACTGATAACTTGGATTGTACATATTTTATAGGTATATCGACGCCAAAGGATGCATGCCGAAGCCAATTTATTTTACCTCCCACGGGAATTGATTTATTTTTTCTCCCGTTGGAGTAAATCGACAACTTTGTTGCCTTAAATGAGGGAGCAAACGCCTACTTTCAATTCAGTTATTAGATAAATAACTTTCATTTTACCAGACCAATCGAGAATACGAGTCTTGGAAAATTGATTTCCAAGAGGAATTGCATGAGAACATCTTCCTATAGTAAATAATTCCGATAGACTCGAAATCAGGACCTGATCAAAATTGAAAATGTCTTGCAAAATTTTTCGAGAATAGACCACAAGCTAATTTTTTTGATATAACAACCAAAAATCAATTTTCCGGCTATTGATTTTCCCTAAAAGTCATCTTGGATAGTTTCAATAGAGAACCGTGGCCAAAACAAATTTTCATATACCTACCTCAACTCGTATTTCTCCTATATCCTTACATGATTTATACTTATGGTATTTTGTCAAGAGATATCTGAGAGTATTTAGATCGGAGGCTTAAACAATGAATATCAATTGTAGAGACTCACTATTACAGTGTTTTATTCCGCTGCCATACGTTCAAATTGAAGGTGGTATCAAAAATTTATTGGACATGCAAATGTACTTTCCTTCATTTTTGATTCGGACAATTTTTCTCCTAGGATGAGCCGATATCAAGATATATAAAGAAAACAAAATTTTTGAAAATCTTCGAGGTTCCGAAATTGATGTTATCAACCCCTACTCAAAACTATTTGTGCATGTGTAAAAGACCAAGTTGCACCCAAATTAAAGATAAATAACTTACATTACAATATTTCTGCTAACATTTTTAGGGGCATCCAATTCAAAAATAGATGTAATCTCTTCCCAGTTTGCATTATAAATTTTTTTGAATTCATCTGAATTCATATCGTCCATAGCTTTCTTCAATTCCTCGCTCAAATTACTCGTATTCAGTCCACTCAAGATATTGTGTGATGGATCCATTTGAAGGGCATTTAGGACAACAGGCAGCTCATCACTTCCTATATTTGAGCTATCGTAACTCGTGGAGCTGCTGTAGTCATACCGCGCTCGCTTTCGTCCTGCTTTATAAATGTCCTTGTTTGGGATATACCGAAAATCTCTCGGCTCTGACCGTGCCATGTCCGAAGGTCGTACCAACTCAATAAACACTTTAACGGTGTGGTTAATATTCTGATCACGATATTTAGGTGTCCTGCAAGAAAATATAGTAAAACCACAGAATGTAAAACCCGGATTGTCCGTGCTACATGGGACTGGTCGAATCACGGATTACTGGAGAGCACGGACAATTCGAACATTTATTTTTCACATAATATGTAACAGGCCATAATTTATAGAATATTGGGTGTATCATAATGAGATTCGATTTGGTTATATGGCATGTGAAAAGTACATTTTTTGAATCTTTCACTTCCCGGTCGCGATTTTACTAAATATAAACTATTGCAGCACAAGACACGCCCCCTACTACGGCATTGCAAAATATAATCGAGCCCAGCACAATCCTGCAAAATCTAATCTTTGACAGCACAACGTAGCTGATTCATATAAAAATATATAAATAAATCGATTGAAAAAGTAGCACATACCACGTTATATCTCATCTTCAAAGTACTTTACTTAGGCAAAACTCAGAGACTATTTATCCTCAACGAACTAACCTATCCCTGATTGCAATATTTTTGAGGAAGGAAAACCGAATGGAGTGTAGAAACACATTGATTAATAATATATTTCAAAAGTTGAGTTCTTCAACAAAATTGAATAAAATGAGACTGTTTATCCTAAACGCACTAACCTATTTGACTTCAAATATTTTATGAAAAAGGAAAACCAGAATGAAGTAAAAAAACATTGGTGAAAAAAAAAAAGTTGCAAAAAAAAGTTCGAGTTCACAGCGATTCGAACCATGAACCTTCAGACTGAGAGTCGACAGCGCTAACCAGTAGACCATTTGGGTGTATGAATTTACTGCGTACAAGAGATTGACAACGAGAAAGCTTCAGTTCTTGCGTTGGAGCACAGTATGAGATATGACGTATTATGGTGGGCGTGGTTTGTGCTAGCGTGCAGTATAATATTTAGGAAAATCGCTTCCCGGTCACTGCCGGTTCCACCGGAAATGGCTCCGGTTTTGAATTTTTAAATGGAACACTATATATTGTGAGCATTTCGAATTCCTGAGACAATTCTGGATTAGAATATGACATTTTCAGAAAATTTCACGTCTACTTCATTTCTTTAGTCACTTTTAATATTGCATCTTGAGGACGTAAACTCTATTATAATCACAGTGCTTTAGTGACTAGTATGATAGATAGAAAGAAGACAAGTTGGCAAAATTATATTTCCGTGTCTAACTATTATTTTTCAAATGACCACCATTTTTTGATGAGCACTTTCCGAAAAAAGGATTTTTTTCCACCACTAGCTCTAGAACCTACCATTATACAGGGTGTCCCATAAGTAATGTATCAAAAGAAGTGGGGTGGTAGAAGGTGTATTTCCAATCAAACTAACCATATATGTGGTTATATAATTGTTGATGGTTCAAAAGTTATTGATGTTTTTGCATTTCTATAAAAAGAATTATTTCTTTCACAAACATTCACACGGATGCACGTTTCCCCAGAAATAATTTTATGGCATGTATTTAGTTCTTATCAATTAACTGAGAAAAATGTTGTTTTCCTTAAGTTTTGTCATCGAAGGGAATATTCAAGACGATTTTTAAATGCCGCTGGCACATTCAAAAACTACCCCACAGAGATAACCAATCCTAAGAAAAAATTGCCCATTTTTAATACAGATTCCGAAATGGTATAACATATGGAGTTATTCAAAACAGCCTTTTTGTTATTAATTTTTTTCAAATGGGTCGCATTTTTCAGAATAATTGAATAACTTCTGAACCATCAACAATTTGATAACAACATATACCATTAGTTTGATTACGAATGACCCCCCACTTCTTTTGATACATTACTTATGGGACACCCTGTATATTCCTTTTCAAGGCGTAAAGTGTGTTTTTACTACCAAGGCAGTTTTCGTGAATTTATGAACCACTAGTCAATAAAGACATAGCCACGACTTGTCACATGCTGTCATGATCATGGCTACTAGATTTGAATGAGAATTGAAAAGAAGTGCTTTTTTCTACTCACATACCTAAAATGGCACTTAGCGTACGAATATGTACCACGCTAAACGATCGATTAATCACGGATTGTCGATCTGTGATTTATTCAAAATATTAAACACGTTACCATGGCAACACGATTTCTTAAACACATTACCATGGCAACACAGTTCATTAAACACAGGTTCAGTAATTTGAGACATGTCTGGCCTGTCAATTGTATCAACTGTCAACTGTTATTTTCAAATTTTGTATCAGAATTATTTAAACAATATTCGTTTGTATCAGAATTCTTCATTAAAAATATATTCGAAATGTAGACGAAAGTGAAATTGAAGAGAATGTTCTGGTACTTGCATTTCTCGTAGAAATGTAAAAATGAAGCATCCATCTTTGAGAACAACTTATTCATTCTGCGCTAAGCATGACAATAAACGTGAAACAAAGGTTAGTAAGCAATGGACTGGACACATCTACAACCAATATCACTCATACATGTGTCGCTGGTTGCATGCAGTTGCATGTATTATGTTCTCAATTTCCATTCCTTTCGAATTATTTTGTAGGTTAGCAGGAATAGCAGGTATGTTAATGCAATTTTCGGAGTTCGTAGAAAAAGCATAGTATGTAACGCGTTTATAAACTCTTCTAGACACTCGTTTGTTAAACAATCGTTACTAAAAGGACGTTTATGACACTTGTTACATAATTTATTGTGACAATAGGTTCATATTTCAGTTTCACAGTACTAAAGTCATTGAAATATCATGCTAGTGGTAATGAACATTCAATATACACCTTGGCAGTAAAGAATAATATTACCACGGGGCCTTATATCCTTCGGCTGACGCCTCGGGATATAATCTTGGTCCCTGGGTAATACTGATATTGTTTACAACCTTGGTGTATAAATAACTATTTTGACGAATCTAACTACAGACAGTATCTAACTATACTAATTAATTTGCGATTGGATTGAAAATAAGAAGTAAAATTCACTATTCTAAGGAAAATCCTGATGGATATTTGTCAAGTGTGCCATGGAGAGCCATGATGCATAATATTTCCCAGTTATTTTTGTCAAGTCAACTTCAACTTCTTATTTTTAATCTAATGGCAAATAAATAAGTATCCTTAGATTTGTCAAAAAACACTTTTATTTACAACCATATAATTATGTAATGTTGTCATTACTAACGTCATTGAAGTATGGGAAGTGTCCCGCCCCTCACTACTTTCCGCCCTCACTCATATAATAATTTGGGTATGTTCAGAACGAAACATAGATTTATTAATTTTGATTAAAATTTGATGGTTGTGAATAAAATAGTATACAAACCTCGGTAGGAAGTTTCATTCCTGTCTCGAAATTATAGCTAACTTATCTCACGACAGGAATGAATCACTTCCCACCTCGGTGTGTAATATACTATTTTCAGTGACATATAAAATAACCGAATTAGGTGTGACAGATTGAAAGTGAAAGATCAAACTCAAAGCATACTCTGATTTGTTTCTTCAAATATCTCATATTTTTTCAGAAAGAATTGCAACTTGTTATACACCATCGAAAAGAGAATAACAGGTTATATCCAAAACAGTAAAAATCCGATATGGCGGTCATTGAAAAAGATAACGGAAAGTCGGTTAGCAAATCTGAACGCACCATCATAGAGAAAAAATGGCAATGCAAAATTGCGATTCATTTTGAAATCCTACAATAAATAGAGCCAGAAAAAAATTGAATCAATTTTCCAAAATTTCACACATCCATACATTCCACATATTATTCTAATGAGCAATCCCACAACAACATAGTAAAATTTGAGCCAATTCGACCCTGAGTCCATTTCCCATATTTTTGTGTGGGGTCCTTTGTCTGGGAATTTGTTTACAGCAAATTTCATGTGATTGAGCAAATGTGCGTAATATCCGTTGTTCAAATAGAATTCAATGGCAATCAGATCGATTATTCAATTAACAATGAAATGAATTGTTAGGAAGCTGATTATACTCACTTGAAAACGATGGCATATTGATGATGCACATCTAAATCGTTGAACTTTCCATAATCCTCCCAAACTACTCTATCTTCATCATCAGTTTCATAAAATCGGATCTTGATATTTTCTTGAAAACAAAATGATAATCGATTAGATGCCATATGCTTTTGCAAGTTTCTTCAGTAGTTCTCGAAGAATAAAATCGAAATTTGTCAACACTATTTCAGGAAACTCTGAGTGATGAAAATGTCATTGGAAATAAAATAAAGCCAACGTTTGGGATCGACTGTTAACATCTGATCAATGATTATTGCACCTTTTTCAATTGTAATTCAGATGGTATATGGTGTGTTTTTCATTCCATCAAAGAAAGTCCGCACTGGTAGATGCCCTTTTCTTGTCATGACCTCACCAATTCTCTGATGGAACCGAAGCTGCAACAGAGTATACAACACATTGAAGGAAGAACGGATTTCGTTCTGAGTCTGTCATGTATCTTCAGAATCAGAAGAGACAGATACTATTTTATTGATAGAAACTGTAACAAATCAATGTCGCCGCCGATGCTATCTTTTAAATATAATCAAATATTCTTCAGGAGGCTAGGCAACCCATCTTTAATTAATACAGATTCAAAATCCGTGCGCGCACCTAGGTTGGTTATGGTTAGGAGGGGACTTCCGAAATGTCTTGCGCTGGTCATTTGACTCTTGAACGGGCAGTTTTCTCAACCAAGTGAAGAATTAAACATCCACGTCGATCGAACCCAAATTTGGTGTTTTTGGTTTTATATGTGCCCAATGTTCCTTTGGAACATCTTGGCCTGTGCCTGCATTTCATATTTAGGTGGATAAAACTCTTTTTTACTACTTTATGATTGTTTATTCGACCCCTTCAGATCACATGTTTTATACCTACTTTTCTTTACTAATTTGTATAATTGCTTCACCTCTTATATTATGTGATGTACTGTACTTCCTGGGGCTCATTAGCGCATTTCATAATTAGGTTTTCGACGTTTCGCCCAACCACGTGATTTTGGTGAACTTAAGAAGCAAATAAATAGTCTCCTGAACCATCAGCGTTTCTATCAGCAAACCCACCAAACCCCTGAGACTGTTACAAAACTAACTCTATCCTCTGAAATCGTTCAAGAATCTAAAAAATCCTCAATATTGTTTTACCAAAAAATAAAAATTTGTCAATTGTCATGTCAATCACCTCCAAATCGCTGGATCCTCTCAGAGCAAATTGAAAGTGCGCGTTTTATAACAACACTTATGGATTTCCACCAAAATTCCAGTGGAATTTTGCAACAGTTCGATGATTTCTTCGATTCATGTGCATAACAAATTGTTGGAATGAAAAACAGACCCATAGGATGTATTTAAGATAGTATAAATTGTAATTCAGAAAAGTCAATTGTATTTGAGAAAGTATCACTTGAAATCCAGATTTGTTAATTATAATTCAGAAAGCGTCAATAATAATTCAGAAAGCATCACTCGAAATTCAGTAAGTATTAACTGCCATTCAGAAACTAAGAACACCTCTTTTGTATTTTTATCGAGTCTTCTTCGTTAGGGTTCATTCATACTGCCAAAACTTGAACCAAATTGAAACCATATGATCCGAATGGAGTAATTGTGCTACGGCTGCACAACACTCCACCAATCACCAACTTCAGCATTTCGAGATATGCCCGTTGGTCGATGAATATATAATTTCATGTTGATATCAACATATACACTTACATATACGTTTAAGGTAGATATTTGTCAAAACTACTTGTCCGATTTGGATGTTTTTGGTTTTGAATGACTGGTTATCTCTTTCTGAACAATGGTGTGCAAGTTGTATTCGCATAAAAACCTCTTTCCTATGAATACCGGGTGTAGCAATTGTAGCGTGTTTTTTCATAAAGTTTGTGGAGTGCAACAGTTGTTATATTATCAAGTTAGAATTGTAATTACACATTAGCCTCATTTTTTCTCAACTTTTCTTTTTTGGATTTACTCTATTATCTTTCCTATTACTCCAGAAACACCAATTCAAAGCATAACATGATTTTATTAGATTTAACTAGCATTACGAGCACATCGGTAGCAGGTTATGGAAAAATATGGAGTACCAGTAATTGTCAAATAAAGATGCATATTGTCAGTGTTAGTTCTTGTTCTGCGAATTGTTTTAACGACGAATATGCAACGAGAAACGCTCAAACATTGATATTGTTTGAGGAAGGTTGGCCTTACCGAAGAGTTGGTGAACGAGTCATACAAAGACATAGAGAGACTGGAAATAATGGTCACAGGCCAGGACAGGGGAGGACTCGAATAACAACTCCGATTCAGGATCGACTTTTAAGACTTTCTGCATCAAGACAACGTTTTGTAACAGCTCGGACACTTCGAACTCAGTTTAGAAATGCTGATGATTTACAAGTTTGTGAACAAACTGTTCGTCAGCGACTAAATGAACATAATTTGAGACCTAGAATTGTTGATCGAGGTCCAGCTATAAGTAGAGTTCATCGGAGAGCGAGGCTACATTTTGCCAGTGAACATCGTAACTGGTTAGAGGCAACATGTTTTATTTACGGATGAGTCCCGATTTTGTTTGTTCAACAATGATAGGCGTATGCGTGTATATCGACGCCCTAACGAACGGTATTCTCAGTGTAATTTCTCACATAACACATTATTCGGTAGAGGATCTTTGATGGTCTAAGGCGGTATTCCTTTGACTGGTCGCACGGAACTTGTGATCGTAAATGGAAACCTCACAGCTGAAAGGTACATATTGGAGATTTTAGAACCACATGTAATGCCGTTTTGTTGATGCAAGATAATGCCAGGCCTCACGTCGCCCGAGTTGTGAGAATCTCTGGGATATTCTTGGAAGAAGATTACGAGAGGAACCTAACTTGAATACTTTGGAAGACGTTCGGCAGAGACTAATTCAAATTAGAGTCACTGGATGGTATTAGTAGATAAGAGTTCGGACACAGCTGAACTTCTGTCCTTTTCTAATAAAAGAATAAGACATAAATTCTGCTCTTTGTCTTTTCAATTTCCCTAGTAGCACCTGATTATCAGATGGGTTGCGTGCAAGAACTGTCAGATGACCGACACTGGAGGCAAAACATTGAAACACAATGTCACTTTTCTTATTTGTTTACAAGTGATCGAAATAGTTTTTCACAATTATTTTGGCTAGGGTCCCTTGATGGAAATTGACATTGAAGTCATCTTAACAGGGTACGGACAGATCATAGCTGCATTCTTTTTTAATGATCTAGATACTTTAGTTTTGTCTACTGGCATCCCTGACATTGCTGTCACGTCACATCCATGAGCGCTACAGAAAATCATTAAAAATTTTTATAATAGGTATGTACAGGGTTTTTAATTGTTGAAGAAAATCATATGGCGAACAAGTTTTGTGATGAAGATCCGATTCTATTCAAAATTGATATCTGGGGTCTTCGGGGTAAGAGATAATGATTGTTTCGTTAAAATTAGAAAATCCAAGATGACGGATCCAATATGGTGAGAGACTTTAGTTTATATAATTATTACTCTATCACAAATAGAAAATATGTAGGATGCAAGAGTGAAAATAACGTGCCTATAAGTTATACTGCGTATACCTACTTGTTTGTTACTTTCATCAATAAATTATCTGAAAATTACTTTTTATTTAAGGGAGATGGAAGGATCATAAGTATAACATGGGGGTGAAGTATATTCTATTCTTTATTTCCCTGCACATTTACCGTATTACTTTTCGTCCTAGACGAAGTTTTATACATAGCTGATATTAGTCCCTCCATAAATTCTACTTCGAGTTGGATTTCCGAAAATATATTTAGCACACATCACATGAGTACGGTAGTTTAGATATTCACATCGAGGTTTTCACCATTTCTCAATCATAAGGCTCAGCTCATTCAGCTCATAGATAAACTACTGCTCAGTTTGAAATCAGAATTCATTCAGTCTAATCAGTCGTCCCTTGTATACAGTCTAAGAACAGTATCTTTTAACAATTCATATGTTCCCTTAGCTACCTCTCAAAAATTATGCTGGAGAATAGTAAACTCTGAAACTAGAGGATTCTTCATCTATATTTTGGTATAGTTGAATCAGGGATTCCATATGTAAATTACGTATGATACGCCAGTGACCTCAATATAACCTAAAAAACAACAAATGTCAAAAATCTAGTGTTTATCCCCAGAAATGAATAAAGATGGAACTATATAACTGTTTCACAAACACTTTAGAGTGAGAGGAGACGAGGATCTGTCCGTACCCTGTTAAGATGACAAACCCACCGTGTGGTGGTCGGATTAGAATAACCCCACGGTAAGTCCTGCCTGTCGTAGAAGGCGACTAAAAGGACGCCAATAGGTGGAAGATGGTTAACGCCATCGCCCGGTGCGATACCACCACATCAACCATAGGCACTGTGAAATGGGTATACTTACCCGTATTTCAGTGGCTGGTTGATGTTCCGGCCAACCCAACCCAACCCAATTTCCTTTTCCTTCCACGCCAACCTCCCTTCTTCATACAGAATACGCGATGATGAGTTCTCCTCAAGTAAAATTATCCGGAAGTAAAATACCTCTCCATTCGGATTTCCGGGCGAGAGGTGCTAGAGGGGGTTCACCATCGGCTGAAAAAGTCCTCAAGATAGACCTATGTAACATCCGAGGTCTAAGTAAGAACATCAACGATGTCCATCGACACCTTCAAATTGAAAAGCCAGACATATTGGCTCTTACTGAGACACAGGTCAATTCATCCACCAATACGACCTATCTGCTCTGTCCTGGGTACGAACTCCACACACGTTTCAGATTCAAGGGAGGTCTCTGCCTCTACTCTAAAACGAATCTCTCATGTCAACGAGAAAAAACTTTGGAACCAAACAAGTTTGATGTCATGTGGTTCAAACTCGATAGCCAGAAACAGACCAAATACCTATGTTGTCTCTACTTATCACCAAATGATCCATCCTATGAAGAGCTCTTCGAATTCTTGTCTCTGAAGCTTGACCAAATCCAACAGAACCATCCAGCAGCAGAAATCATCATCATGGGCGATTTCAATGTACACA